AAGCGAGACATTTGTTAAGTGAGTTCTGCCCCATGTTACAATCTTTCTTGTCACAGTTGTTAAGTGAATCACGGCAGTTGTTAAGTAGTTGTTAAGTGAAACTGGCTTTCCCCATTGGTTTTCCTTGTCAGGAAGTCACAAGAGGTGATCATGTGACACTGCAACTGTCATAAATATGAGCGAGTAGCCAAGCATTTGAATTTTGATCACGTGACCATGGGATGCTGCAACGGTTATAATTGTGGAAACCAGTCATAAGTCACCTTTTTTCAGTGCCTAAATGAATTGTTGTAAGTCAAGGACTACCTGTACCAATTATCTCAAGGGCTTCCTGATCTAGGGACAGTTACAACTAGCATACTAGATGAATACGTATGAAAGGTCTCTTCCAGAAAGGACTATTATGTCTAATAGGCCCCTCAAGATGCATATCAGTTTCATCCAACACTTAAAATGAAAAGTCTCCAGCAGCAGAACCAGTTCTGAGTTGTTATTTCTGATCCAGACCTGCATATGATTCAAAATATTTCTACTTTTCCTCTAAATCAGGGAGTAGATTTATGGCCAAAGACTGATGCTTTTTCTTTCTTCCTTCAAATATCCCAGTCTCTCTGACTTTTCTGGGTTTAAATCACTTTTAAAAACAGCCACAGAATCATACCCAGCAGACAATTAGAAAAGCGTAAGGCCTTCTGCTCTGGGCCATTGCTCCATCCAGTGCTTCTAATGTTTAGTTTGGTGGCACCAGAGGTGGTATTCAGCCAGTTCTGACCGGTTCTAGTGAACCGGTAGCAGAAATTTTGAGTAGTTCGGACAACTGGCAAATATCACCACTGGCTGGTTCCGCCCCCATCTATTTGCTGTCTCGAGAATCCCAGCTGATCAGCGTCCCAGCTGATCGGCTAGATTTTCTTCTGTTGCCCTGCACAGGAGGCCAGGGCAACAGAACAGTGGACCTGGAAAGCAGGTTAGTGGGGTGGGAAGGGAAAGGGGATTTTACAGTATCCTTGCCCTGGAGGGGGGTGGAAATGGTGATTTTATAGTATCCTTTCCAGAGGTGGGTTCCTACCAGTTCGCACCTATTCGGTAGAACCGGTTCGTCAAATCTACCGAACCGGTTAGAAAAAGTTCCACCAGTGGACCCGGAAAGCAGGCCACACCTACAGAAGAGGTTCCAAACTTATTTGAAACCCACCACTGGTCCTTGGATATGATTATTCTACACTATCATGCTCATATTTATAAAACTCAGTGCCTCTATGAAAAGGTAAGGATGACTACTGCATTTGTGGTGCAATCAGAACATTGCGTGTGTTGAAGTTGTTTTAACGCAAACCAAAGATGCCTTTTAAAAAACAAGTTTACATCATATTCTTATGCATGCCAGTGCTGTGTGTGAGGTAATTTAAGGTGGTTCTGACAAGTGTCGTCGGCACCTTCATGGTCACATGGGCGGCAAGCCACTCCCATCCTGTCACATGGGTGGCAAGCCACTCCCACAAAGGAGGCGACACCCACAGAGTAAGTTCGAACAATTTTTGAAACCCACCACTGATCCTTTCCCTAGAGTATGGTGGAAATGAGATTTTGCACCATCCTTCCCCTGCCACGCCCACCAAGCCACGCCCACCAAGCCACGCCCACCAAGCCACACCATGCCCACAGAATTAGTAGTAAAAAAAATTGTATCCCACCACTGTGTGGCACTCTCTCTGTCTATCTCCTACATGTCCTGCATATATCCTCTTGGAAGCAGGAAGAATCAAAGCAAAGAACAACATTTGGGGAAAAAAACTTACAGGAGGAGTGGATGCTGGGAAAGCTTTTCCTTCCTTCTGACACAATGTTTGCATCACCCGTGCAGTGCATTTCAGAGTTCATTATTCCATCCGGAAAGCAGCGGTAAAAGAAATCGGGACGTGGTCTGCAAGAAACCCCAGGAACATTTGATATGGAAGAGCAGTCATTAGTAAAGCCTCCAAGTGATCATTATACTAAGCTGACTGTTTCTGCTCGGGAAGCTCTTTTTCCCCCCCCCACTTTCCTTGGAGTACAAAGTGCTGAGGGAAATTAATTAGTTATTTTCATCCAAAGCATTGTGATCATGAAAGCAGTTTAAGAATTCTAACCGCCTAGAGTTAAACCAAGGGGTTTATATGAGAAGACCATTTTCAAAACTTAATTGGCTTTTCCAATCTCATGGAAAAGATCACACAAGGCACTTTTAAAAGGTGAAGAAAACAGTGGATTCATACTGGTATCATGCAATGAACTGATTTCAACCGAGCTGGGTTTATGGGAGTAGGCAATTAAAATTAATTCCTTCTACATTTTCCCATACAAGATTTCATTTCTCCAAGTAAAGCAAAGTGGAAGTTGCTTTAACCTAAACACTTTTGTGGAATTTTTTTGCTCTGCTCCCTACATACAGGGAGAAAATCCTGTGTATGTTTTTTTTCCCCCATTACAATACCCATTAAGGTTTTGTAAGCACCCTTTAAGGTGCTATATTATTTAAGCAATAAGCAATAGTTAGACTTATATACCGCTTCATAGGGCTTTCAGCCCTCTCTAAGGGGTTTACAGAGTCAGCATATTGCCCCCCAACAACAATCTGGGTCCTCATTTTACCCACCTCGGAAGGATGGAAGGCTGAGTCAACCTTGAGCCTGGTGGGATTTGAACAGCTGAACTGCTGAACTGCAGTCAGCTGAAGTAGCCTGCAGTGCTGCATTTAACCACTGCGCCACCTTGGCTCCACCGTGGCTCCACCGTGTACTTGGGTGCTCCAAAGTTGATCTAATATGAAGCACTGCGTAATATTTTCTAGATGTCTAAGCAATCTACAAAGCATTAATTTTACCAGTTTTTCATTTAATCGCCCATTAGTTTCTCCACCTTTACAAGAACATGTACTACAATAGTAGCTTTCTCCACCTTTACAAGAACATGTACTACAATAGTAGTAATAATGATGAAAGGCAACCCAATGTCTTTGAGGGTATTTGGGGTATTCTCCAAAACAAGCTTTTTGCTTGTCATTCTCATCCAGAATCATTATTATGGCTACCTTGGTGTATATTGAATAGTTACTCAGGACTTACCTCCCCACTATTAATTTAATAGTGTTTGTGCAGAGTCCATTTAAAGCAAGAGCCAAGGACACAGCTAAAAGCAAACAAAAAAAACCATATAAAACCACAAGATATGCTTTAAATTTGCAATCAGTACTCATAAATGGGCTGCTATAACATTTTCAGAAAACCTAACTGATAATTTGATGAAATATGAAATGTTTCCAGTGGCGTTTCCCCCCTATGATCTTTCTATCCTATGATAGTGAATTCTTATCTCATGCCTTGGGAACACACAAATTCCTTCAGGATAAAGATGGATTCATATTCTATCCCATTACATCAACAACATATCAATAAACCATTCCTTCCTGCTCAATTTACTGCCAATGAGAAGGGTTATATAAACAGCTAACAAGGGTTGATATACTCCACATGAACTAGAACAAGTTTTTCCTCCTTTATTTGCAGTCTTGCAATGTGTTTTTCATCTTTTTTTGGAGGGGTGCTTTTTAGCTCTCTTTTTAACTTTTAATCTCTCTTTTAAGACAACTTTTCAATTGATTTTTTTTGTGCACTGTGTGCCTTTTGTTGAATGCTGACTCCTGGCAACTGCCTGGACAATCTGGACTCTGCAGTTTTCTTAGCAACATTTTTGGAAGTGGCTTGCTATTTCTTAGGCTGAGAGCGAGCATGACTGTTCCAAGGACACCCAACTTGGTTCATGGCAAAGATGGGACCAGAGCTTAGTGTCTTCCAGATTCTAGCCGGGCATCTTAAACCCTACACTAATTTAACTCTCTATGCCAGGGGTGTCCAAACTTGGGAACTTTAAGACTTGTGGACTTCAACTCCCAGAATTCCCCAGCCAGCTGGCTGGGGAATTCTGGGAGTTGAAGTCNTTTTTCCCACCTCGGAAAGATGGAAGGCTGAGTCAACCCTGAGCCGGTGAGATTTGAACAGCCGAACTGCTGAACTGCAGTCAGCTGAAGTAGCCTGCTAACTAACTAAATAACTAACAACCTTTGATCTGGGACTAAAAGCTCTTCACATTTCTAGGAGAGCTATGGCCTGACAGTGGGTAACGGAACAGGTAGTCAGGATGATTCATGAAGTTTAAAAACATGCTTTATTTTCCCCCAAAATTAAACGCTTCATATGAATGTCAAGAAACACTAAGAGATTTCAAAAAAAAAAAATGAAGACTAGAAAATTGATTCTTTTAAATCTCTATGCTGTCTACAAAAATAATAGTATAATCTGTTTTTGAGTTTCCATCCGAGTGCACCACTAACAACATAATTGAAATCCATGATGCTAGTTTGGTAGTTATATCGTCCCAATTGTGAAATCACCAGACTACTCATTTTCACATGAGGTTTCAAACATAAATGGATCTGCAATTGAGTCAAAATAACAGGGATGAAGATCAGGGGTAGGATCTTACCGGTTTAACAACTGGTTTGCTGAGCGTGCGCTTTGCGCGCACACTCCCACTTTGCTTGTAACACACGTCAGAACGTGTGCTGTGCGTGTGTGCACAGTTTAGAGTATATTTACCTTTTGGATTGCTGCTTGGGAAGGAAAATAGCTGAGGCTCGTCAATCCACTCTGCCGCGCCACTCAGCTGAGAAGATAAAGGTAAGTAAAGCGCAGGGGTGGGTGGGCCCACTTGCTAGAGGGAGCAAACCAGTTCGCTCCCAGCTGATGTTCGGAGATACCGGTTCACCCGAATCAGTCTGAACCAGTCCAAACCGGTAGAACCCCAACCCCTGATGAAGACGTTGTTTGAAGGCTTTATTTGATTAACCCACTCTTCACAAAACTGAAGCCCTCAAGCCCTTCAGTTTTAACGCTTTTAACATTTCTAATAAAATAAAATGTTTTCTTTCTCAGGAACCAGAGTTGGAAATCAGAGCAAAGTACCTTCTCTCCGGGAGTCACTGAAATTCTCCATATGCAATGTGTATATGAAGGATAACCATTTGGAAATCCTGGAGAGGAAAAGTTGCCTGTAGACTCTTGCAGGGTTTCACCGCATGCTGAAAGACATCAGATCATAGAGAAATTGTGAGCTCTCCGGGAAGGGCTGCTTGGGCAAACATGCTTCTTCTTACTGGAATTCACCAAAGGCAGAAAGAGAAATACTGGTATTCAAATGGCCATCCTTTATGCAAACCCCTTTTTTCAAGAGTCGGCCTTGAGTAAATACTTTTCTAGAAAGTCTTCTTTAAAACAAAATTACAGCAGGCTTTAAAAGTTGCTCTGCTATGTAACCAGGCAAGGAAACTTTCTTTTTTCACTACAATATTGTACAGGGGGGAAAAAGGGGGGGGGGGCAGTGCTGAAAAAGTAAAACCATTGCAGGAAATCAACTACCGTTTTTATTTAATAACTATTTGATCCAGGATATATGCCAGATTGTATTTGTTGCGGCAATAATTTATTTTTAAATGTTTCATCATTAAGACACAAATGCATTATGACCCTCGGGCTGTTTAAACTACCTGAGATTAAACATGTAAGGAACGTTTGTGAATCATGCTGGTTGGGCACGTGAAACAGATCCAGAAGCACCAGCAAGGTCATAACCCTCTTTCCAGAATCCAGTAAAGTTACCCACCAAGATGATTAAAGCAAAGTTAGTACAACAAAATCTGGTCAAAATCTCAACGAATAGATCTAATACTGTAGATCAGGGGTGTCAAACCCGCGTCCTGTGGGCTGGATGCGTCACATGCTGGCCCTGCCCCCACCTGGTTTAGCGAGGGGGGGGGAAGTCCCGATACGTCACATGATAGCAATAGCAATAGTTAGATTTATATACTGCTTCATAGGGCTTTCAGCCCTCTCTAAGCGGTTTACAGAGTCAGCATATTGCCCCCAACAACAATCCAGGTCCTCATTTTACCCACCTCGGAAGGATGGAAGGCTGAGTCAACCATGAGCCTGGTGGGATTTGAACCGCCAAACTGCAGCTTAGCAGTCAGCTGAAGTGGCTGCAGTACTGCACTCTACCCACTGTGCCACCTTGGCT